AAAAAAATATATATATATATATTTGTTTTTTTAATAGATACATTTTTTTTGTCTTTTTTACCTCCATAGGTCGACAGCTTGTCTTCTTCAAAGCTGGCTCAAGAAATGTCACCCCTGACCAAAACAAAGTTATATATCTAAAAACGACGACAGATTAACGGACACTTTTCTAGTGAGGGGTGAGGTCTGATCAAGTTGTGATGTGGCTTTATTTGGAGGAGAAAATGCACTAATAATCATTCTAATTTCTAGAGTGCGATACATTTTTACCTGAATTGCCTGGGTGGATGTGCAATAAATCAGCAATTTTTTTTATGTGACTCAAAAAAGGCAAAAAACCCCAAAAAACAGATAACGTGATACACTGTTAGAAATGAATATATTGAATATTGTGGTGATTATCTTGGAATCGTGCAGTGGAACTCAGCAGAGACATTGGCGGATTGGTACCAGCAGGCTGTCGGCTTTACAATCGGAAGGACTGATCAAAGCATTGCACTGGTGATTTTCATGCAGTGTTATTACTTACAGGGACGAGAAGGCGATTATTTGTCATGTTCTAATATTTGTTACTTTACTCTTAAATTATATTGTCATAATTGTAAAACATCTTAAAAATCTGAGGATCCGTTCACTCCTAGTGTGCTGCAGTAATGTTGTGTGTATATGGTATGCCATTAATTTCAAATGGCACCCCAACGCATGTACACAACACACTTGCACTACAGCAAACCGCACAGTAGGGTTTGTGATGCGCTGCAGTAAAAAAAGATTGCAGGTGAGATTGTTGCTGTGTTGGGAAATGTAGCACACCTCAACGCATGATAAAGCTTGTGGTGCCAGTGGCGTATACAAGGTATGGCACATGCCCTGGACGCCACTTGAAGGGGGGGGGGGCACCTCTCCGTGGGTCAGTGAAAGTTTGCTGACCCATGGAGACAGGTAACTTTTTATCTCTCCTCACCCGTCTCTCATACACATCTCAACACCGAGCTCTATCCAGGTTGCTAAGAGTAGGGTGGGGAAATGTGTATGGCCCTTGCATATTTCCCCACTCAGTGATGTCACTGGTTGCCAGGAGCTGGGCAAGGACACCAGGGGAGCAATGTTTTGTAGATGCACCTCTGCATGGTGCTATTGTGCCCTCTCTAGATTTGCAAGGTTTTCCAGGGGGACATAAGTCTCACTTCCCCAATTGACCCACAGAGCTCAGGTTTTGCCTTCTGGAGATGTGAAGAGAACCTGTAGTGTTTTACATACAACATTTCAGTTTAAATGATCTTATGAAAGCTTTAAAACTTTACACAAAAAGAATGTGTTCTTCTATTAAAAAACATGCCCATAAAATAGCCAGCAGATATGTGGCCATGCTATCAATAAGTTCATTTTGCTCCCACTGACTTCTGGCAAGAGCAGAGGAAGACAATGGTGCTAGTTTACTGTCCTCCTGGACAATATTGACCATGAGCCAGCCCCCTTCCTCTTGACTAGAAGGCCCCTTGGAGTATGGTGTACCATGTGACACTGCTAGGACCTGCTGGATGATGACAACACTGCAGTAGACCCGTATAGAATTTCTGTCAGGGCAAAAAGCCTGTTTGGCGGTGCAACAACTGTCTATTGCAAGGCTGGATTTTTAAATTAAAATATATACTGGGGTGGTGCAAGCATGGCTGACATGACATTTTTATTTAGGGTATCATTCATAACAGCCCTGCCCATCATATTGCCAGGTGGATGATGTTTGCACAGCACTGGTGCCCCCAGATGGCGCTCATGAGTATAGGAATCCTATACTCGTCAGTGCCATCTCGGGGCGTTAGTGCCGTATGAACAACATCTGTCCGGCTGTACAACGGGGGAACTTTTATAAATGAAACCTTTAATGACGGGCACGCCAGTATTTTTAATCAGCCATCTAATACAGGCTTCTTTAATATCTCAAATTGTTAAGCAGCTCTTAACAACTAATACTTATTTACAAAAATGTTCCAAAGATTTAAAAAAAAAAAATAGCACACGTTTAACTTAATCAGCTTTCAAACCAAATATATTACACGTACCTATCGGTGTAAAGAATGATATAAATAATTTATAGGCACCGCATACAGAAAAGGAAAGAATGTAACAGATCTTTGATTTTTCTAACCTCTTTTGCAGTAAGCTAAAATCTCATTGATTGCTGAGGAACTTCATGGAGGCTGATTTATGAGGGCAGGAAAAGTGAATGCTATAGCTGAACTTTTAGCACAACAACTTTCATTAAAATTTATTACTCAGAAGTCACAAATGATATAAACTCACTTTATGTGCACCAAATGCCTTTATAAATTTAGATATTACCTTGTGATGTACATACCTTGTGCAGAGCTGTGAGAGGGATTTAGAAGGCCCCACCCACTACAGGCTGCCTGTAGAAAACTACAGCATGGGGCAGAGACAAGACTAGTCACTATGCACAAGGAGTGAGAGCAGCAGTGACTGGTGTTTATTACAGCAAGCTCCAACTTTCACATTGGATTACTGCACAGCACTGGAAGCAATACACAAAGCACATAAAGATTCAAGTTAGAATACACATGATTCTTCTAATTATACAATACTTGTTTAACCTCGAGTTCAGCTTTAAGCCAATAGTAACACATTAAATTCTATTGGAAAATGAATGTAGCAATCTGATTAGTTGTACCAAGCATCCGCTCCACCTTTCCTAGAATTTCTTTCCACCACTTTCATAAAATTATAAATCATAAACCAATTTTGTTTTACAAAATTTTTGATTAAAGAAGATCTGTTGTTGTACTACGACCAGTGTAGCTCGATATAGTTTAGTGGCAAGTAAAGTATTCACAAGTAGATGGAAAAAGAAATTTAAAAAAAATAAAAGTGCCCCTAGACTTCCGAGCAGCCAATGAGATCTGACATTTTTAAAATATGGAAGTAAGTGTGACTTACTGATATCTATCTCCTCCAGTTATTATTCTTTATTCATGTCAACCCAGGAAATGCCAGCTTTGTTCATGCAGAGTGACAGGTTCTCATTAATCTAAATTGTTTGGCTACATTATTTTATATGATGCCTTTTTTCAGTGCTACCTACTTGATGTGAAAATGTAAAAATAATGTCAACCCTACAAATAACTCGTATTTTGCGTGTTATGATATGGTTGAGTGGTTAAGGATATGAATTGAATACACTTATGTGGTGATGTGATTTCCATGCAGTGTGTTCCTATACTGTAAACAAACCATGGCCATAATGGAGGGTGCAATTGTATTATTGAAACTATAACTACATAATACACATTCATGGGATCTGCAAGCAGGACAGATATCTTATAAGCCGGGCCATACACATATCAATTTTTTTTTGGTTCAAACCACGGGCTGAACGAAAAAATTTACCCGATTCCTCCATCAACACAAACAGCGTGCTCTTTACATTGTATTCTGACAGGTGCCAGCTCATTGGCTGCGGGCTTTGATCAATCGAAAATTTTTCAGTTGGCTCCTTCGATCACCTGATCGAGGAATGCCGATCGAAATGGTGCCGACAGTGGTACACACTGTGTGAATTTTGGCTGGTACATAAAGCCGAAAATACAAGCCGAAATTTGACCAGTGTATGGGCACCTTAAGTGTTTCTGTTACCTCTGTGTTTAGGATGGCATTTATCATCGGGTCTATTCATCATGGGATCCATTCATCATGGCATCCATTTATCATGGGGTTCATTAACCATGGGGTCCAAGGCTAACGGTACAGGGGGGCTTTGCAGTGTGCCCATGTTGCAATCACCATGAACTAAAGACACTGCATTGTAATAGCACCACTGTGTAAGTGTAATCATACCCTCAAGAAAACTACCATCAAAATACACTTTTCATTGTATAAAATTATGGGTAATTGAAGTCTGCAAATGATTTGACAAATGTACATTGTTGCATAACGCTATGTATTTTATTGTACTCTTTTTGTTAAAGGATACATGCACTTTAGATAACAAGCACTCCATTCCCTCTGCCATGATAAATGCAGTAAATCCTGTTATTTACTGCACACACCACCCATAGCCAACACAGCCTGAAGGCCATCTGAGCTATAATGTGAGGCAACAGTCTGGCACATGTGTTGTAATGGGTCAGTACTGCATTAAAGATTACAAGCAGCCTGCTGATGCAGGCACTGGGATGCCAACTAGGACTTCCATCGTTCCTTATGGCAGATGGTGATCAGCTGTAGCTTAAAGTGGACCTAGCATGGGATATATTATTGCACACGTCAAGTGATATCGAAGTTAACCCCTACGGGTATTTACCCTCACAGAGAAACACAAGCACAAAGTCTGATATGCATGCTGCACATGGCTTGGCTAAAATAGGAAGGAAGCCACAGCTTTATTCTCTACCTTATTCAATACAACAGAGTTATACACCATAGATACTGTATAACAGAACTTATAAACACTGCCATCTATTGACCGAAATTGTATACTGCAGTAGTTATTGCTATAAACACAGTAATGTGTATTCTAACAATTACCTTAATATCACAGTTCTCCCCCTGACAATACCTTCATCTGCTTTACTCATCTGAAGGACAGCTCCATCTTTGTTCAGTGTTCATCCAGTGTAAGCATCTGCTTTTTGGTATGAAATGGCAAGTTTGCAAATTACACAGCCATCCAAATTCTTCTACTTTTTGCAGTTTTTGACTGTGTTCATAAATGTTTGACACAGAACAGCTTCTGCTGCAGCTTCTCACCTTAACTAGCTACAGAGTTACAACATACAGTCTAAAACATCACAGAGAGGGGAGGATTGAGGAAGTGCTTTCTCCTGCTTGTAGCAGACTGATGACATCATTTTAGCCTAGGCAAAGTCACTTGATCTGAAGGATTGCTTTTTAATGATTAATAACAATGTGGTTTATAAACTGTGCTGGCTTTTAGCATTTATTCTTGCATTGATTGGAGGAGGAGCATGTTATCTATAGTGCATTTAGTGCTTAAAGATTGCTGGTATTCCCGCTTTAACCTGCAGGGTTCGCTAAGGCTACTGCTGCCTATGGAGAGGATTGAGCTATATTCCCTCCACAACTATCCATAAGAAAAGAGTAAACCAGTAATATGATCACAAGTAAACATCACAGCAATTGCCAATTATATTTCATTTTATAGGATGTTGATCTGAATTTTGATGATTGTTCTTCTTCTGCAATAACTACTTGATCTTAGATGGTGCTGAAAATAGTAGTATTTAAAGAGGTACATTCGGTATCTCATGTATTTGCTTTCAGTGAAAGCTGCCACTGACAATTGCCATGCTTTTTTTTTGTAATTTGTAA